CCACACAAAATACCACAGGAATATTTAGTACCACAGCAACTCGTGTGGTAATGTCACTAGACTCCTTTGGTAATGTCAACGGCTGGCTGTGGTAAGTTGATATTTCCTGTGGTACCTGATATTACCACACAAAATACCACAGGAATATTATGTACCACACGACTCGTGTGGTAATGTCACTATAGACTCCTGTGGTAATTCAAAAGGCTGGCTGTGGTAAGTTGATATTTCCTGTGGTACCTGATATTACCACACAAAATACCACAGGAATATTATGTACCACACGACTCCTGTGGTAATGTCAACGGCTGGCTGTGGTAACTTTGTATTTCCTGTGGTACTTGATGTTACCACACAAAATACCACAGGAATATTTAGTACCACAGCAACTTGTGTGGTAATGTCACTAGACTCCAGTGGTAATGTCAACGGCTGGCTGTGGTAACTTTGTATTTCCTGTGGTACTTGATGTTACCACACAAAATACCACAAGAATATTTAGTACCACAGCAACTCGTGTGGTAATGTCACTAGACCCCTGTGGTAATGTCAACGGCTGGCTGGGGTAACTTTGTATTTCCTGTGGTACTTGATGTTACCACACAAAATACCACAGGAATATTATGTACCACACGACTCGTGTGGTAATGTCACTATAGACTCCTGTGGTAATTCAAAAGGCTGGCTGTGGTAAGTTGATATTTCCTGTGGTACCTGATATTACCACACAAAATAGCACAGGAAAATTATGTACCACACGACTCGTGTGGTAATGTCACTAGACTCCTGTGGTAATGTCAACGGCTGGCTGTGGTAACTTTGTATTTCCTGTGGTACTTGATGTTAACACACAAAATACCACAGGAATATTTAGTACCACAGCAACTCGTGTGGTAATGTCACTAGACTCCTGTAGTAATGTCAACGGCTGGCTGTGGTAAGTTGATATTTCCTGTGGCACCTGATATTACCACACAAAATACCACAGGAATATTATGTACCACACGACTCGTGTGGTAATGTCACTATAGACTCCTGTGGTAATTCAAAAGGCTGGCTGTGGTAAGTTGATATTTCCTGTGGTACCTGATATTACCACACGAAATACCACAGGAATATTATGTACCACACGACTCGTGTGGTAATGTCACTAGACTCGTGTGGTAATGTCAACGGCTGGCTGTGGTAACTTTGTATTTCCGGTGGTACTTGATGTTACCACACAAAATACCACAGGAATATTTAGTACCACAGCAACTCGTGTGGTAATGTCACTAGACTCCTGTGGTAATGTCAACGGCTGGCTGTGGTAACTTTGTATTTCCTGTGGTACTTGATGTTACCACACAAAATACCACAGGAATATTATGTACCACACGGCTCGTGTGATAATGTCACTAGACTCCTGTGGTATAATACGGCTGGCTGTGGTAAGTTGATATTTCCTGTGGTACCAGATTTTACCACACAAAATACCACAGGAATATTATGTACCACACGACTCGTGTGGTAATGTCACTAGACTCCTGTAGTATAATGTCAAAGGCTGGCTGTGGTAACTTTATATTTCCTCCGTTTCCTGATGTTACCACACAAAATAGAGAGCGAGATCTTTATTTTCAATTTCAATTCCCAACGGCGCATTTCCACCATTACTTTGCCATTTCACCAGATTTGTCTTCCTTTAATACCCAGAGTATGGAGGGAAAAGGTTAGATTTACACCAGGAAAAACGAATTTTAAGTGTATTCCAAAGCAAGAATTCAACAAAATGGGGCAGGATCGCAGAGTTTACCATAACAGGCCAAGTTTAATACATATGGCTCAGACTGTAGTCCCACACAACCACTCTTGTGTGGGGAAATACAAATAGTCGGTCTGCAGAAAACGATTAACTTTGCTGCTCTGGACAGCTAGCTGCTGGAGCTACTTTAAAGATCATCATTTTGACCAGGAGGTGAGTAATAAAATTACACATAATTCAAGACAGAATGGTGTTTGCTTTCTGTACAAAATAGGAAATTTGGTTAGTAAATCTTACTCTTATAAATTTGGTTCATGAAAAAATGAAAACCGATCGCATTTGATGAAGGTCGTAGATGGCCTACTGTACTGCATCTAGACAAGTCTACATAATTATAGTCATCTATATTCTGTGTACATAAGGCTTTTCATTGGAAGTGAAATAATAAACATGAATCTTAATTAGTAATTAAGAGAATGGGATTACTAGTACAGACGTACTGTCAGTAGTCTAATCCACACATAGCTGCATAGAGCATAATAGAATACTACAACGTGCTTACTTTTGTATTTGTTTTTTTAATTTTTCAGGGTATCTTCGGCTGCTGGAAAGTCATCAATGTGGACTGTGTGGTACTGGCATGCTTGTCTTCTGGTGTACATGCAGACATGCAGTCTTAATTTGTAAGACAGAACTGTCCAAAATACATCAAGGAAGTGCAAGACATGAGTGAGAGTGTGAGACCCATACTGGGTAAATGTTCATCGGTATGGGATTTCTATATTAAATGGAAAGCATTTCGAAATGATGTAAATTATGCCGACCAACAAACATTCAGCAAGTACTTCCAGGTCGCCACGCCCTGTCATAATCACCTTGCGTTCGGTCGGAATGAATCTGAGAAATAAATCTTCAATACACATCTTTGTACCAAGGCAATCTCGACGAACATAAATTGAATTAACTTACAGCGTAATAAAATATTTACATATATCCTATATCTATGTGTGAATATATCTTCATAACTTTATTTCTCTACACTTTTTGCCATGACAGCTCATTGCTGGTATAGTTGATGCCAGTATTGTGTAACACTTTATAGATGTGTATTCATGTATCTATAGCCTTTTTTTTAAATATTCATTTAAATGCATCTGAAGACTATTCATGTTTGACAATTGACATCTTTTGACACTTGACAGATAGACCATAGCTGCAAGTGCTATTAATTAACACTTTTAACATTGTTATGGATGTAAACTTATTTATGTATTGTATACCTTTAATTGCCTTCACATGTATTCATATACATTTTTAAAGAATTAATTGTTGGACTGTTTATGTTCGTCATGATATCTCATTGAAACTTGCCAGATAGCCTTGCTACTGGTATGTAACATTTTATAGTTAATATATATACATGTACATATGTATCCATGCACTTGTACACATATCCACTTAAAGGTAGTGAATACTTTTTGCTGCCAACATCAACTTGAATTTCTGTAGATCTTTGCAGGAATTTTAAATATATCACGTATCTGTGAAATTTAAACGTTAGCAGTATCCAAGTTTTCAAATTATGCAAGGAAACCCATTTAGTTTCTAGACTTCACTGTCAGACACTATGAGTGACTGACTGACTTCTTTTTTTCTTGGGTAATACCCCTGCATAAAATGAGCTGTAAAGGGTACATGAGCATTTGTACACATCAATAACCTGCTTCTTGTAGTGACCAAAAAAAAAAACGCATACATTTTCAAATTTGAACCAAATCTGACTTTTTTCTGTTGTAAAGTGTGCATTGAATTTATTTAAGAATATATCAAGGGTTTTATTCTAAAATGTTTGTTTTGCATGTTATTTTTTAAAATTCTAGTTTTGTCATCTCAAATTCCTGTGGTAGTGCTTGGAATATGGTAGGCATGCTAGGTAGTCCTGTGGTACCTGCAATGCGGGAATCCTGTGGTAACTGGCGTGTGGTAATCCTGTGGTACCTGCATGGTGTATGGTAATCCTGTACCCTGTGGCAACTGGCGTGTGGTAATTCTGTGGTAACTGGCGTGTGGTAATCCTGCGGTAACTGGCGTGTGATAATCCTGTGGTAACTGGCGCGTGGTAACTTTCCTGTGGTAATGTCCCCAAAAACCACACAAATTACCACAGAAATATTCCTGTGGTAATTTGTGTGGTAATTTATGTGGTGACTGGCATGTGGTATTCCTGTGGTAATCCTGTGGTAACTGGCGTGTGGTAATTCTGTGGTATTCTGTATGGTAACGGGCGTGTGGTAATTCTGTGGTACCGGGCGTGTGGTAATCCTGTGGTAACTGTTGTGTGGTAATGTCCCCCAAAACCACACCAATTACCACATAAATATTCCTGTGGTAATTTGTGTGGTAATTTTAAGTGGTAACTGGCGTGTGGTATTCTTGTGGTAACTGGCGTGTGGTAATCCTGTGGTAAGTGGCGTGTGATAATCCTGCGGTAACTGTCCTGTGGTTATGTCCCCAAAAACCACACAAATTACCACAGACATATTCCTGTGGTAATTTGTGTGGTAATTTTAAGTGGTAACTGGCGTGTGGTAATTCTGTGGTATTCTGTATGGTAACTGCTGTGTGGTATTCCTGTGGTAATGTCCAAAAAACCACACAAATTACCACACAATTATTGCTGTGGTAATTTGTGTGGTAATTTTATGTGGTAACTGGCGTGTGGTATTCGTGTGGTAAATTGAAATGTCCCAATTTACCATTATGTGGTAATTCATGTGGTACAGTCCTGTGGTAATGTCCTGTGGTAAAGTCCTGTGGTAATCATGTGGTATTACCACAGGACATTTTTGGTAAAGTCCTGTGGTACAGTCCTGTGGTAATCATGTGGTATTACCACAGGACATTTTTGTAAGGGTCCTACTACCCATCCTCTCCATCGGCGCTAGCGTTCTCATTAGAACTATAAGCTATAAACCAACAGTCTTTTCAAGACTGCACCAACAGTCCTTTTCAGGACTATACACACACTCAAGAAAGAAAGATTACAAAGAGCCCTAGATTTTCAGGGTTACTCCCCAATCCTTCCCCTCTCCCCCATGGTGCAACCCCAAGCCTGTCTTTCTACATTACCATGCAAGTCGATACTTATGAGCAGCAATAATAATAGTATTAATATTTAAAATAATAATGATAACAGAATATTTGAAAGCGTGCATAAAACAAAAGAAATACATGTACATTTACAAGATCAACCTACCACTGACTACTATCTCGAACATGCAAGTAGCTCTATTTCCGGCAGCATCAACAGCTGTGTATGAAAGAGAGGTTATTCCCAGTGAAAAGTCGCCTGCATTGGTCCCCTCACCATTGAATGTCAACGTAACACTATAAGAGTTTTCTGACACTGTTGGTTCAGTCCAAGACACTGTAGCGAAATTCTGACCGGGCTGCATGGGAACGGACTTGGACAATGGACAGCCAACTATAACTGGTTCCTCAGTATCTGAAAAGAAAACAATTGCATGAAAACAATTATAATATAAATAATAACATTAACTGTAATGATGATTATGATGATGACTTAAGGTTAATATAATGATAATAATAATAATAATGATAATATCAATGAATTATAATGTATAACGATAAAGTCAATACTACCACTTTTAATACTACTACAGCATTTAGATATCACAATATTAATTTGAAATTTACAACAACAACAAAATATTTTGACGATCAATTAATAGAATTTCTTTAGACTTAAAACCAAAATATTCAAAAGCGTGCATGAAACATGAAATACACATCCACAAGATTCACCTACCACTGACTACTATCTCGAACATGCAAGTAGCTCGATTTCCAGCAGTATCGACAGCTGTGTATGAAAGAGAAGTGATTCCTTGTGTAAAGTTGCCTGGATTGGTCCCCTCTCCATCGAACGTGACGCCAATCTCATCAGACGTATCTGAATTATCTATCACTGTTGGTTCAGTCCAAGACACTGTAGAGAAATTCTGGCCGAGCGCCATGGGTACGAACTGGGAGGATGGACAATCACGTATAGCTGGTTCTTCATTATCTGGAATGAGAGAAAATTAATGATAATGATAATAACATTTCTAATACTTTTATGTTGCTGGTGGCTAGCTAGGCCGGAAAACCTTGAGCTTGTTCGACCTGGCAATTATTGCAGGCTGATGTATACGGAATGAGCCTTGGCGGGGGAGACCCGGCGATCTTTGGTCTCTCTGGTAGCAGACATGTGCAGGATTTGATGCACGCTGACGATGGTCTAGTACTTAATTTATACTGGGTATCTTGCTCAACAAGCCTAACTTTTTCTGAGATTCTTTTTTTCCCCCTCTCAGTTAAATCAAGCAATATAAAATATTTTGTCTTATTCTCTACTTAAATGTACTCTGTAAACTTATTTTATTACACATGCTCATCAGTATTTTGTTACTTGTATAATTCATTTGTTTTATTAAATATAGTACAAAATGTATGGTTTATATATGTCATTTTAATTTGTAGATGTTCGAGTGGAAAAATAAATAAAATAAAATAAATTAAAATCAAAAAATTATGTGTACTAAAAAAATGAAATTAATGATAATAGTATCGATCATCACACGATGATGATGATGATGATGATGATGATGATGATATTAATAATATTTATAATGATGGCAAGGGAGGGGGGGGGGGGCATTACGTGGCCTCTCCCCCCCCCCCCCCTCTGCGATTATTCTGATTGATCAGGAATACGTACAGATGGCGCCCGGCCACTCACTTACTTTTTTCTTTCGAGTCTTGCGCATCTTTTAAAACAATTTTTTGAAAATCGGACGTACAGTTACAAAGTCACGTGACCTTTTGTTTTTGCATGTCAGCCCGAAAATCCCTCATTTTCGTGATTTGTGTACAAAACATACGGAAATGTCGTTTTTCATAAAAAGAGATAAAACATTGTTTATTGTGTCTTGTTTAAAGTTTAGGTGTTTGTTTTGGGAGTCAAAATAGTTAAATTGTAGTAAGAAATGAATTTAAAAAAACAAAAATAATCAAATACACAAGTTAAAAAAACAATGAAATACATAAGAAATTATCAAAACAAAAGATAACATTAGGAATAACCTTGCTCTTCCTAAATGTTGTTGTCGTAGTATTGTTTCAAATGGTCTAACGGGTACATGTACTAAAAAAGAATGCTTAAATATAAAAAATATATGATTTATGGGTAAAAAGGTGAATGTTATGACCTTATTTGCATAAATTACCATAAATATGCACATGAGTAAATTTTTCCAAAAAATTAAATTTACCATAGTATTCTATACACTTCACTTGACATGCGTGCAAATTTTCGAGGTGATCGGCCGTTTCACGGCTGAGATCTTAGGGGGAGGGGGGGGGGTATAATGGCCCCCAGCCGTATTAAAACCTCAAATACTCCGGCCTATTTAGGGTTAAGACCAAAATATTCAAAACCGTGCATGATACATAAAATATACATCCACAATATTCACTTACCACTGACTACTATCTCAAACATGCAAGTAGCTCTATTTCCGGCAGCATCAACAGCTGTGTATGAAAGAGAGGTTATTCCCAGTGAAAAGTCGCCTGCATTAGTCCCCTCTCCATTGAATGTCAACGTAACACTATAAGAGTTATCTGACACTGTTGGTTCAGTCCAAGACACTGTAGCGAAATTCTGACCGGGCTGCATGGGAACGGACTTGGACAATGGACAGCCAACTATAACTGGTTCCTCAGTATCTGTAAAGAAAACAATTGCATAAAAACAATTATAATATAAATAATAACATTAACTGTTATGATGATTATGATGATGACTTAAGGTTAATATAATGATAATAATAATAATAATGATAATATCAATGAATTATAATGTATAACGATAAAGTCAATACTACCACTATTAATACTACTACAGCATTTAGATATCACAATGATAATTTGAAATTTACAACAACAACAAAATATTTTGACGATCAATTAATAGAATTTCTTTAGACTTAAAACCAAAATATTCAAAAGCGTGCATGAAACATGAAATACACATCTACAAGATTCACCTACCACTGACTACTATCTCGAACATGCAAGTAGCTCGATTTCCAGCAGTATCGACAGCTGTGTATGAAAGAGAAGTGATTCCTTGTGTAAAGTTGCCTGGATTGGTCCCCTCTCCATCGAACGTGACGCCAATCTCATCAGACGTATCTGAATTATCTATCACTGTTGGTTCAGTCCAAGACACTGTAGAGAAATTCTGGCCGAGCGCCATGGGTACGAACTGGGAGGATGGACAATCACGTATAGCTGGTTCTTCATTATCTGGAATGAGAGAAAATTAATGATAATGATAATAACATTTCTAATACTTTTATGTTGCTGGTGGCTAGCTAGGCCGGAAAAACCTTGAGCTTGTTCGACCTGGCAATTATTGCAGGCTGATGTATACGGAATGAGCCTTGGCGGGGGAGACCCGGCGATCTTTGGTCTCTCTGGTAGCAGACATGTGCAGGATTTGATGCACGCTGACGATGGTCTAGTACTTAATTTATACTGGGTATCTTGCTCAACAAGCCTAGCTTTTTCTGAGATTCTTTTTTTCCCCCTCTCAGTTAAATCAAGCAATATAAAATATTTTGTCTTATTCTCTACTTAAATGTACTCTGTAAACTTATTTTATTACACATGCTCATCAGTATTTTGTTACTTGTATAATTCATTTGTTTTATTAAATATAGTACAAAATGTATGGTTTATATATGTCATTTTAATTTGTAGATGTTCGAGTGGAAAAATAAATAAAATAAAATAAATTAAAATCAAAAAATTATGTGTACTAAAAAAATGAAATTAATGATAATAGTATCGATCATCACACGATGATGATGATGATGATGATGATGATGATATTAATAATATTTATAATGATGGCAAGGGAGGGGGGGGGGGGCATTACGTGGCCTCTCCCCCCCCCCCCCCCCCCTCTGCGATTATTCTGATTGATCAGGAATACGTACAGATGGCGCCCGGCCACTCACTTACTTTTTTCTTTCGAGTCTTGCGCATCTTTTAAAACAATTTTTTGAAAATCGGACGTACAGTTACAAAGTCACGTGACCTTTTGTTTTTGCATGTCAGCCCGAAAATCCCTTATTTTCGTGATTTGTGTACAAAACATATGGAAATGTCATTTTTCATAAAAAGAGATAAAACATTGTTTATTGTGTCTTGTTTAAAGTTTAGGTGTTACAAAGTCACGTGACCTTTTGTTTTTGCATGTCAGCCCGAAAATCCCTCATTTTCGTGATTTGTGTACAAAACATACGGAAATGTCGTTTTTCATAAAAAGAGATAAAACATTGTTTATTGTGTCTTGTTTAAAGTTTAGGTGTTTGTTTTGGGAGTCAAAATAGTTAAATTGTAGTAAGAAATGAATTAAAAAAAACAAAAATAATCAAATACACAAGTTAAAAAACAATGAAATACATAAGAAATTATCAAAACAAAAGATAACATTAGGAATAACCTTGCTCTTCCTAAATGTTGTTGTCGTAGTATTGTTTCAAATGGTCTAACGGGTACATGTACTAAAAAAGAATGCTTAAATATAAAAAATATATGATTTATGGGTAAAAAGGTGAATGTTATGACCTTATTTGCATAAATTACCATAAATATGCACATGAGTAAATTTTTCCAAAAAATTAAATTTACCATAGTATTCTATACACTTCACTTGACATGCGTGCAAATTTTCGAGGTGATCGGCCGTTTCACGGCTGAGATCTTAGGGGGAGGGGGGGGGGGGGGTATAATGGCCCCCAGCCGTATTAAAACCTCAAATACTCCGGCCTATTTAGGGTTAAGACCAAAATATTCAAAACCGTGCATGATACATAAAATATACATCCACAATATTCACTTACCACTGACTACTATCTCGAACATGCAAGTAGCTCGATTTCCAGCAGTATCGACAGCTGTGTATGAAAGAGAAGTGATTCCTTGTGTAAAGTTGCCTGGATTGGTCCCCTCTCCATCGAACGTGACGCCAATCTCATCAGACGTATCTGAATTATCTATCACTGTTGGTTCAGTCCAAGACACTGTAGAGAAATTCTGGCCGAGCGCCATGGGTACGAACTGGGAGGATGGACAATCACGTATAGCTGGTTCTTCATTATCTGGAATGAGAGAAAATTAATGATAATGATAATAACATTTCTAATACTTTTATGTTGCTGGTGGCTAGCTAGGCCGGAAAAACCTTGAGCTTGTTCGACCTGGCAATTATTGCAGGCTGATGTATACGGAATGAGCCTTGGCGGGGGAGACCCGGCGATCTTTGGTCTCTCTGGTAGCAGACATGTGCAGGATTTGATGCACGCTGACGATGGTCTAGTACTTAATTTATACTGGGTATCTTGCTCAACAAGCCTAGCTTTTTCTGAGATTCTTTTTTTCCCCCTCTCAGTTAAATCAAGCAATATAAAATATTTTGTCTTATTCTCTACTTAAATGTACTCTGTAAACTTATTTTATTACACATGCTCATCAGTATTTTGTTACTTGTATAATTCATTTGTTTTATTAAATATAGTACAAAATGTATGGTTTATATATGTCATTTTAATTTGTAGATGTTCGAGTGGAAAAATAAATAAAATAAAATAAATTAAAATCAAAAAATTATGTGTACTAAAAAAATGAAATTAATGATAATAGTATCGATCATCACACGATGATGATGATGATGATGATGATGATGATATTAATAATATTTATAATGATGGCAAGGGAGGGGGGGGGCATTACGTGGCCTCTCCCCCCCCCCCCCCTCTGCGATTATTCTGATTGATCAGGAATACGTACAGATGGCGCCCGGCCACTCACTTACTTTTTTCTTTCGAGTCTTGCGCATCTTTTAAAACAATTTTTTGAAAATCGGACGTACAGTTACAAAGTCACGTGACCTTTTGTTTTTGCATGTCAGCCCGAAAATCCCTTATTTTCGTGATTTGTGTACAAAACATATGGAAATGTCATTTTTCATAAAAAGAGATAAAACATTGTTTATTGTGTCTTGTTTAAAGTTTAGGTGTTACAAAGTCACGTGACCTTTTGTTTTTGCATGTCAGCCCGAAAATCCCTCATTTTCGTGATTTGTGTACAAAACATACGGAAATGTCGTTTTTCATAAAAAGAGATAAAACATTGTTTATTGTGTCTTGTTTAAAGTTTAGGTGTTTGTTTTGGGAGTCAAAATAGTTAAATTGTAGTAAGAAATGAATTAAAAAAACAAAAATAATCAAATACACAAGTTAAAAAAACAATGAAATACATAAGAAATTATCAAAACAAAAGATAACATTAGGAATAACCTTGCTCTTCCTAAATGTTGTTGTCGTAGTATTGTTTCAAATGGTCTAACGGGTACATGTAGTAAAAAAAGAATGCTTAAATATAAAAATATATGATTTATGGGTAAAAAGGTGAATGTTATGACCTTATTTGCATAAATTACCATAAATATGCACATGAGTAAATTTTTCCAAAAAATTAAATTTACCATAGTATTCTATACACTTCACTTGACATGCGTGCAAATTTTCGAGGTGATCGGCCGTTTCACGGCTGAGATCTTAGGGGGAGGGGGGGGGGGTATAATGGCCCCCAGCCGTATTAAAACCTCAAATACTCCGGCCTATTTAGGGTTAAGACCAAAATATTCAAAACCGTGCATGATACATAAAATATACATCCACAATATTCACTTACCACTGACTACTATCTCAAACATGCAAGTAGCTCTATTTCCGGCAGCATCAACAGCTGTGTATGAAAGAGAGGTTATTCCCAGTGAAAAGTCGCCTGCATTAGTCCCCTCTCCATTGAATGTCAACGTAACACTATAAGAGTTATCTGACACTGTTGGTTCAGTCCAAGACACTGTAGCGAAATTCTGACCGGGCTGCATGGGAACGGACTTGGACAATGGACAGCCAACTATAACTGGTTCCTCAGTATCTGTAAAGAAAACAATTGCATAAAAACAATTATAATATAAATCATAACATTAACTGTTATGATGATTATGATGATGACTTAAGGTTAATATAATGATAATAATAATAATAATGATAATATCAATGAATTATAATGTATAACGATAAAGTCAATACTACCACTATTAATACTACTACAGCATTTAGATATCACAATGATAATTTGAAATTTACAACAACAACAAAATATTTTGACGATCAATTAATAGAATTTCTTTAGACTTAAAACCAAAATATTCAAAAGCGTGCATGAAACATGAAATACACATCCACAAAATTCACCTACCACTGACTACTATCTCGAACATGCAAGAAGCTCTATTTCCAGCAGTATCGACAGCTGTGTATGAAAGAGAAGTAATTCCTTGTGTAAAGTTGCCTGGATTTGTCCCCTCGGTCTCTCCACCATCGAAAGTGAAGCCGATCTCATCAGACGTATCTGAATTATCTATCACTGTTGGTTCAGTCCAAGAGACTGTAGAGAAATTCTGGCCGAGCGCCATGGGTACGAACTGGGAAGATGGACAGCCAAGTATAGCTGGTTCTTCATTATCTGGAATGAGAGAAAATTAATTATAATGATAATAACATTACTCATAATTTAATGTTGATGGTGGCTAGCTAGGTCAGAATATCCTTGAGCTTCTTTGTTCGACCTGGCAATTACTGTAGGCTGATGTATACGGAATGGCCGCCTTGGCATGGCGATGGCGGGGGAGACCCAGGGATCTGGCGCGGGCAGGTGAGTTCGCATGTCTTTTATCTCTCTGGTAGCAGACATGTGCAGGATTTGATGCACGCTGTAGAAACACCTGTTGAGTACAGATACTTGGAGCATATCACAAGTAGTAGTTCAAATATTGCACAGCACCCGTAGAAAGAATATGTAAGACCATGTACAAAGTAAGGACGCTTCTTTGCGAATTAAATAAGGAAGAAGAAACTTATAATCTCTATAAAGTAATAAGCTGACAATCTAGTACTAATTTTTTCTGGGAATCTCGCTCAACAAGCCTAGCTTTTTATGAGATTTTTTTCCCCCTCTCTCAGTTAAATCAAGAAATATAAAACATTTTGTCTTGAACTTAAATGTACTCTGTAAACTTATAATATTATGTACATACTTATCAGTATTTTGTTACTTTTTTCATTTGTTTTATTAAATATTGTAAAAAATGTATGGTTTATATATGTCATTTTAATTTGTAGATATTTGAATGGAAAAATAAATAAAATAATATAAATAAAAAAAAAAAATTACATGTACTAAAAAATGAAATTAATGATAATAGTATCGATCATCCCAATTACGATGATGATGATGATGATGATGATGATATTAGGCTAGATGATATTAATACTATTTATAATGATGATAAGGGATGAAGGGATGGTTGTCTGAATGAACTTAAAGTTTGAAACTGTGACGTTCCCTTATGAACACAGCTCAAGAAACATGAGCTACATGCGTACCTATATCAAAGTTACAGTAAAACTCCAGGATGCAGAATTTCCCGAACTGTCGCTCGCAACGTACAAGATGTCGTACGCAAATCCTACACGATATGTATCAGAAGCAGCAATTCCAGATAACTCAACTGAATGAGCACCGCTGTTGTCGGTAATGTCAGGGCTATCCCACTTTATATATTTGTTGTTGGCAGGCGCGTACGCAGGATTTTTTCAATGAAAAAGTTTCCAAACTCAAGGCGACTGCATTTACATTACAAAATGTCATGTTGAAATGAGACATAATTTAAGCCTACGTACCCCACGCGCTATGACAAAATATTTGTTAATCACTTCTCATCTCCTCGAAACAAAAGGTTTTTCTTAGTCTTCTTAACTTGTGCCCTTAGTTTAAAGCAACCATAAGCAATTTCTTCTTGAATCCCCCCTCCCCTCCCTAAAAAAAAAATACTCGCTCGGTAAGCTAGAAAATGAAAAAGTTTCCAAACTCAAGGCGACTGCATTTACATTACAAAATGTCATGTTGAAATGAGACATAATTAGCCTACGTACCCTACGAGCTATGACAAAATATTTGTTAATCACTTCTCATCTCCTCGAAACAAAAGATTTTTCTGAGTCTCCCTAACATGTGCCCTTAGTTTAAAGCAACCATAAGCAATTTCTTCTAGAATCCCCCCTCCCTAAACAAAAAAGTACTCGCTCGGTATAAGCTCACTCGCGTTGATAGTTTATCAGGTTACTTAATTCATGAAAGGTTTCACTATGAGGTTGTGCTTAACCCAGGACCAAAATCCAGTTGAAACCAATTGGAGCAAAACCAATTGAAACCAGTTGCCAACTGGTTTCAATAGGGAAATTGGAACAACTGGTTCCAATTGAAACCAGTTGAAACCAATTGCCAACTGGTTCCAGTTGCCTAATTGGTTTCAACTGGAACCAGTTGTTCCAATTTCCCTATTGAAACCAGTTGGCTTCAATTGGTTTCAATTGGTTTCAACTGGTTTCAATTGGTTTCAATTGGATCCAATTGAAACTTACAGTTGGCACACTGTAAAAAAAGTTGGGCAATATTTTTTAACACTTTTCAACCCAACCATCTATTGGGCAATATTTTCGTATTTTGCCCAACAGCTGGTCAGGATTGTCCCAACAAGTGGGCTACCGTAGTCGGGCATATGGCAAGCCGTTTTATCATTTAAACATATTTCTTGATATCAAGAAATGAATTCTTGATATCAAGAAATCGAATTCTTGATATCAAGAATTACCATTGCTTTACAACGTAAAATCATTTCTTGATATCAAGAATTTAATTCTTGATATCAAGAATTCGATTTCTTGATATCAAGAATTCGAATTCTTGATATCAAGAAATGAAGTTTAGATATTAAGAAATGAATTCTTGATATCAAGTAATCGAATTCTTGATATCAAGAATTGATTTTACGTTGTAAAGCAATGGTAATTCTTGATATCAAGAATTCGATTTCTTGATATCAAGAATTCATTTCTTGATATCAAGAAATATGTTTAAATGATAAAACGGCTTGCCATATGCCCGACTACGGTAGCCCACTTGTTGGGAAAATCTTGACCAGCTGTTGGGCAAAATACGAAAATATTGCCCAATAGATGGTTGGGTTGAAAAGTGTTGAAAAATATTGCCCAACTTTTTTTACAGTGCATAAACTTAATTAGTTATAAGTTAATTAGCTCTTGCACTAATTATCGCTCATGTCAACACAGAAGCATTGTTATACGTGTCTACATTAAGTACAATGTAAAGGGCATTATAATATGCAGACCATATAATATACTTAACAAGGAAGGCATTGCCATTATATATGTTTGTATTTGCTGTATTTTGTACATGGTTAGTGTTTTACTAATCAACTTTTAATCTGTGTAATTACAAAAATATGTTACTAATGAACATGCTTATCATTGCTAATTAATCTTTATATTTATCTAAAACAAATGCATTACTTGCAAATGAAAATTAATTAATAAGTACATTGTAAATCACAATAAATTACATAAAACATTGATCTGCACACAAGCAGATAATATGCAAATTAACTGGTTTCAATTGGATCCAGTTGGGTAACTGGAAATATTTCCAATTGGAACCAATTGTGTAACTGGAAATGAATTCTAACTGGAACCAGTTGGGTAACTGGAAATTACTTCTAACTGGAAATGAATGCTAACTGGATCCAATTGGGTAACTGGAAATGAAACTGGAACCAGTTGGGTAACTGGAAATGACTTCTAACTGGAAATGAATGCTAACTGGAACCAGTTGGGTAACTGGAAATAAATTTTAACTGGAACCAGTTGGGTAACTGGAAATGACTTCTAACTGGAACCAGTTAACTGGAAATGACTTCTAACTGGAACCAGTTAACTGGAAATGACTTCTAACTGGAAATGAATGCTAACTGGAACCAGTTGGGTAACTGGAAATGAATTTTAACTGGAACCAGTTGGGTTACTGGAAATGATTTCTAACTGGAACCAGTTGGGTAACTGGAAATGACTTCTAACTGGAAATGAATGCTAACTGGAACCAGTTGGGTTACTGGAAATGACTTCTAACTGGAACCAATTGGGTAATTGGAAATGAATTCTAACTGGAACCAGTTGGGTAACTGGAAATGACTTCTAACTGGAAATGAATGCTAACTGGAACCAGTTGGGTAACTGGAAATGAATTCTAACTGGAACCAATTGAGTAACAGGAAAATCATCTTACTGTTTCCAGTTGAACTTCTAACTGGAACCAGTTGGGTAACTGGAAATGACTTCTAACGGGAACCAATTGAGTAACTGGAAAAATTACCTTACTGGTTCCAGTTGCACTTCTTATTGGTTTGAACTGGAAATGAGTACCCATAACAATATTTTCCAGTTCGGCAATTGGTTTCAACTGGAAATTTTATATTCCAAATGAAACCAATTGAAACCAATTGAAACCAGTTGGAGATTTCAACTGGTTTCAATTGGATTTTGGTCCTTGGTTATATTAAATTTAGGAATGGTTATTTCATCTTATACTAGATTTAATCGGTCGCAATGCGAACGCCCAAATCTATTTTTTGCTCACTCGCTTCGCTTTCTCATCCATGAACCTTCAGACTACCACACACAACTGCAAAGTATGGTCCAGAAGCAGTCCCTAATTGGACCATGCGAAGATAAATTTTTGATGATCATCCCTAATAATGTATTTACTACAATGTTGGGGTATGGACCAATGTCAAAATATTGTATTTGTTCGCGTTGAGGTTACCCTTTGTAGGTGCCCTTTTGTTGGTGCCCCCTCCCCCATTTTGAAAGGCATTCGCCACCACTGATTGCGCATCGTCGTCGTCCTTCAAGTCATGACTGACCCTTTATTGTGTGGCTCGACAATACATAATGAAATAGACTTCTTTTAGAGTTAACCCTAATAAGGCCGGGTTGGGGGGAGGGGAGGGGCATTATGGCCTCTCCCCCCTTGCAATTTTCTCATTGTTCGGGAACGCATACGGATGGTGCCCCGCCGCTCACTTACTTTTTTCTTTCGAGTCTTGCGCATCTTTTAAAACAATTTTTTGAAAATCGGACGTACTATTACAAAGTCACATGACCTTTTGTCTTTGCATGTCAGCCCGAAAATCCCTCATTTTCGTGATTTGTGTACAAAACATATGGAAATGTCATTTTTCATAAAAAGAGATAAAACATTGTTTATTGGGTCTTGTTTAAATTTGAGGTGTTTGTTTTGGGAGTCAAAATAGTTGAATTGTAGTAAGAAATGAAATAAAACAACAAAAACAATATAATACACAAGTTAAAAAAAACAGTGAAATACATAAGAAATTATCAAAACAAGAGATAACATTAGGTATAACCTTGCTCTTCCAAAATTTTTGTTGTCCTATGATTGTCTCAAATGCACGTAGTAAAAAAGAATGCTTAAATATAAAGAATATATGATTTATAGGTAAAAAGGTGAATGTTATGACCTTATTTGCATAAATTACCATAAATATGCATATGAGTGAATATTTCAAAAAAATTAATTTTACCATAGTATTCTATACACTTCACTTGACATGCGTGCACATTTTCGCGGCGATCGGCCGTTTCACGGCTGAGATCTTAGGAGGAGGGGGGGGGGGGCATAATGGCCATAATGCCCCCCCCCCCGGCCGTATTAAAACCTCAAATAGCCCGGCCTTTTTAGGGTTAAGACCAAAATATTCAAAAACGTAAATAAAATATACATTCACAAGATTCACTTACCACTAACTACTATTTCGAACATGCAAGTAGCCCTATTTCCAGCAGTATCTTCAGCTGTGTATGAAAGAGAAGTAATTCCTTGTGTAAAGTTGCCTGGATTGGTCCCCTCTCCATCGTATGTGAAGGTAATCTCATCAGACGTATCTGAATTATCTATCACTGTTGGTTCAGTCCAATTCACCAAAGCAAAATTCTGACCGAGCTCCATGGAAACAGACTGAGAGGATGGACAGTCAAGTATTGATGGTTCCTCATTATCTGAAATGAGAGCAATTTATTGATAAAAACATTACTCATT